CATTTGGGTCAGGTCAGGTTCATGGAATTTTCAGGGTAGGTTCCTTGAGATTTGGTCAAGTTTGGCGCTTTCGGTCAACCGTCGAGAAAACGGCTGTTCTGAACCTTTCTGAGCACGGTGCAAGCTCAAATATACATATGTTGCATGTTCCCATTCAATGATACATTAACCCTCGCCGGACCTATTGGTTTTCTACATACGCGCCGGCCGGGGGGGGGGGGTGGTACGATTTCCCTCGCCGTTTCGCCCCTGATGAAGCTAGAGCGTCGCGGAAAAAACAAGCGTGTGCGCCGTTACAAGACGCAGGGACTGGTACCCGATTTTAATGTCTCATGAGGTCAGGTCGTGACCAAGGGCAAGGGTTCAGTTTTTCATAACTTCGCAAAAAACGGTCGGAGAGCCGCGATTTTGGCATCATCGTGTTTGCCTCGCTCAGGCGCGTCGAATGGTATACTTTTTGTTCGGGTAAGGTCAACTTGTGGTGTTGACCTCGGGTCAAGGGCAGGTTAGCTCCCCCAGATCACGAAGCTGGTTGAAAGAGGTCATGTTACATATTACTCGAATCGGCAGGTCTTCCTGAGTTTATTGGTGGCTTTCCCGACTCGCTAACTCAATTTGATGGGGAGTTATTGATGAAAAACTCTAATGACCCAAGTATATAACTGCAATGAAAACCGTAAGCCTCATGCTAATAATTATATTCAAAATAGGGCCAAGAAAATAAGACATGTTGGCCAAACTGCCATACTGACTTTTGTCAAACCGTCTTACGGTTTTCATTGCAGTTATATATGTAATCATGAGCCTCAAAACCGCGCTTTCTTTAATCATGACCCAAGTGACCATAAATGACGACACGCAATGTCAACAATGCAAAAGTGAAGCATCGGACCTTGCAAGGCGTGCAAGAAATTACGATTCCATGTGCTGGAGACAGTTTGAGGTTCACTTCAGGTTCACTTATGACGTCACAGGTCAGTGACCTGACCTGACCTGAAAATGCGGTTGGTGTCACAAGATGCGGCTTGGATCAAAGGTCAGATATGCCAAGTTTCAGCTCTCTATCACCTGCGTGTTCGGAGCTATCGTGAAAAACCCTATAGGGAGGCGGCACCCGCCCCCCCCCCCCCGCCCCGTCGGACGGCGAGGGTTAATGATACATGCAGTACCTGATACGAGCATGAAGTTAAAACATGACTAATTTCATTTCAATAATAACGCTCGAAAGCGTCACAGCTAGACAAAAAAGAAAATCTGTACTTAAAAATAAGCGGATGTGAACACAATCTCCTTGACCGAATCCTTACAAAATGCAAGTCACGGGCCATGGCACCCCAGAAAACCTTGCTTAAAAAGACCCACTGAATCGCCACGAAATCAAGTGCTTTAACATAGGCGTGTCATCTCTATGTATATAAGATCTCTATGGTTTTAACCCTCGCCCTGGCAGGGGGGTCGATGCGACCCCCCGCTAAGGTTTTTCGAAGATAGCGTAAAAACGGCGGCGCGCAGCGCCGCCAAATTTGGCGCAGCCTATGGGGCAACCTTTTTACATATGACCTGAAAATTTCAGGTCCGAGTGACCTTGGGTCAGGTCACCAGGTCAGAAAAACCGGTACAAGGTCATGGTCAAATTTCAATTTTCTTTTTGCACCTGTCCAACTCACAGTTTTCGACTGATTTCCTTCAAACTTTCAGGATGTGCTAAGTTCACCGAGTTGTATGACATATAGTCCGGCTTTTATGAGGTCACTGACCTGAGGTCAGCTAGAGGTCATTACGTCGTAATGTTAAGCCTATGGGAAAATACTAAATTCGGAAAATACTGGAGATATCCGCTTCGTTCTATCACTTTTTTGCTTTGAAACCACGGTACTTAACAGCAGGTCACTTGGTGCTTCTTTGTTTGGTGTACTTATCCATGGGTCAGGTCAAATGAGGTCAACTGAGGTCAAATGACGTTTTTGCCAATAACTTGGCACATAATGACGCTAGAGCTTAAGAAATGGTATTATTGTGTTCCTGGTGATCAGCCGAATCGAATGATATGCGATATGATGCAATTTGGTTAACTTGAATTTAATTTGTTAATTTAAGTTTACTTGAAATTTAAGAAAAACTTTAAGTACACTTAAGCAAGCTAAAAAAATGTCATTCGACGCGCCTTGACGTGCTGAGTTCACTGGTGCTTTTTTTTGCTCTATCTTAATTAGATCAAAAGTTATAAGCGAAAAACTTTTGACCTGTTTTTAGCGAAATTTTTACATTTATACCCCCCAAAACCCCCCCTAAATATTGACCTAGAGCAACCAAATTTGCACAGGGGCGAGAACTCCAGGGGGTCCACCTACCTACCAAATTTGGTGTTTCTAGGTGCCATAGGAGCCAATCGCGAGGGGGGGTCGCATCGACCCCCCCCCCTGCCAGGCCGTGTTATGAAAAATGCCCTGCCAGGGCGAGGGTTAATAAGCACACAATCATTTCCCTATTCGCCTCCAACGGTGTTACAGGCCAAGAATACAGTGAAATACTAGTGTGTACAGAAGCAACTGTACATGCACCCTATAATAAGCACCCTGTACATAGGGGAAGGTGGGGTAAGACGGCCCAGCGGGGCAAAACGGACCACCAGCCCTCCCGGCTGAACCGCTGCTGGTATCTACTGCTTTATGCACTCACTATGTTTGTTTTCCTTCGTAACAATGGCCACCTTGAGCTTATGCTGCTAGGATGCATAGCTTTTGAGTTATTGAGAAAAATGTTGTTTTTCGTCAAACCGATCTAATATAAGAGGTCTACGGGTGATTCAATTACGGCGCCTTTCTTGCATGATTAGTCTCTATTTTGCACTTAACTGTAAAGAACTAAGTTATAAACTTAGTTATAGTCAAACTTTAGGAAAGGCAAGGTTTTGCAATGTTGGGCTATTTGACATATACGTCATGATAATGACAGAATTTAGATTTGGGGCAAGACGGACCACTGTGGTCCATCTTACCCTGTGGTGGTCCATTGTACCCTGCATATGGAAAGTTCTTTTCCAAAACATTGACACAAGTTTAAGTAGGCTAATTTTTCAGGAAGGAGTCTTTGTTGCATGTGAGCCATGCATGCAAGTGCTCAGTTAGCATGCATTCATGCCAAACGACAATCAACACACATGTTCCCAGCTTTTAGCTGCACTTCCATCACACATGAGTAAAGAATAAAGGCTCATTTTGTTATTTTACCATTTTGGTTACTTTTTCTTACAAGAGTACAGAGCAGAAGTGTAACACACATGAACGGATAGCAGGCACTGCTGGGTGGTCCGTCTTACCCCACGTTTTTTCTTGTCTGAGTTTTTGACATGTCCCTCTTTAAGAGCATCCACCACCTAGATGTCTTTAATTTGAAATTTAGTCTTTACACATATCAACAGAGGCAGGATTGAGCATTCCAAAGACTATAAATAATATGAATTACGAGAGCAGTGTAGCAAGATATGCGGCCTCAAACCTTAGCTGGTCCGTCTTACCCCACCTTCCCCTACCTACCTATTCATGTCTATCAAAAGTTTAAGTGAAAAAAACTGCTGGAAACCTTTCATGATCTGAGATGACCTCAGGGGCACAAAGAGGGGCCATGGGTACAATTTTCCGATTCATTGTGACATGTTTACCTGTAATTCGATGCTTGGGACTGTTTAGGACGATGTTCGTCCAAACAAGGCGCATTTCGATCTTATTTATCCCAATGACTTATAATGGAGAGGTCATCAAATTCACCTGACCTTAGGTCACCGAGATCAAAGTTCAAAGATATACATTTCATGCATACTATTACTCTTAGAAATCGCTGAAAAGTCGACCCAAGTCGACGGCGTGCTCAGTTGAGCGAACGCTTTGACGTCATCGACCACTATATTTTACTGCGGGAACAGTCTGCCACTGCATGAGATCTCCTGGTTCGCCGCCGATTTTCGCGGACACACACCGAGCGTGTCCCTGAACGATGGGTCCGGATGTAGGGTGCTGTCGCGGCCGCTCGCCAACGACATGGGTGTCTTCCAAGGCTCAGTTTCAGGACCACTCTTATTAATTATATTCGCCAATGACTTACCTCTAAAATGCTGATAGAGCTCTAGTGTTTCAATACGTAGATCCGGCAGATGACACCCAGCTGTTGGTGAGCGGGCCGCATAGTCGAAAGACGACGTCTGCACCTCTCGCGTGGAACGATCATTGAACTCACTTAGAGCTTGATAATTTATTTCACATTCGCTGAAGGTAAATGCAAACAAAACCCAGTTTGCTATCTTTGGCAGTCAACAGACTTTGCGTTCTATTCCGGACATGACGTAACTTTTTGCGAAGTAGCTTTGAAACCCCAAGCAGAGGTAAGGAGCCTAGGTGCCGTCTTCGACGGTGCCATGGTGCCCTGACATGGGAAGCATACATGTCCGACTCATCCGAGCTGTGTCGGCAGTGTACCGGTGTGCTTGTCGACTCATCTCGCTGCCGTCATATCTTCCGGACGGACTCATTAAAGTGCTAGCGTCGACTTTCGACACTTTTACTTTCGCGGATTTGCTATGGACTTACTGTTTACGGAAATGGCTCACAGGAAAACTTTGACAGGTTAACAAAAATTCTCAATTTCACGCTGTGGGCGATTTTTGGCTGTCGTAAATTCAATATGTTTCCCGGCCCCGCCAGCAGTTGCTGCGCTGGATGACGCCTCGGCAGATGGTACTGACTCATACGCTTGAACTGATGCACAGGGTGCTGTGGCGGGGTGAACCTCTTTCTCTCTGTCTCTCTCTCTCTCTCTCTCTCTCTCTCTCTCTCTCTCTCTCTCTCTCTCTCTCTCTCTCTCTCTCTCTCTCTCTCTCTCTCTCTCTCTTCCTGTCTCTCTCTCTTGCTCTCTCTCTCTCTCTCTCTCTCTCTCTCTCTCTCTCTCTCTCTCTCTCTCTCTATCTCTCTCTATCTCCCTCTCTCTCTCTATAGCAAAATCCACTCTACAACAATGTCATGACTTTATTGATACATGAATTGCAGCCGTTAACCATTTCACGAATGTTATGCAGTGGATGAATGGCATGCGACATTTGACTATTCAGGACTCACCTATAAGTCCTTCGCAAACTGTTATCCGTGACAAGCAAGTTGCAACTCGATTGCCTTTCATATCACGAAAACAGCCTCGCGACAACAAGTAACGCATAACAACACCAACAACATAATTAACAATGAGAACAGTTTGCCAATATAATGTAACTAATAATTGAGCATGTGAGCATGTGGAAAGAACATTGAGTCAAAAGAACCATTCGCATCATTTTGACATGATGATTATTGAAGCACCATTTGTATCGGTTCTTGCATTTGAGGCTGGCCTATCATCACCTAAAAACACAGTTTTACTGTGACCACGAGTCTTCAAAGTCCCTCTGGAGCTGGTTCATCCAGACCGAGTGGTCCACCTCCCACTCGTCATTGTCCAGACCTCTGCCGGACTGGCTGAGCTGAGTGGCGGCCGCGGCGACAGCGACGACAACAACAACGGCAACCACGACGCCGACGACCGCGCCGATCGGACCTGTGGAAACGGGAAACAAGGGCATTTTACTCTGGTATAGCTGGTGATGAAAGGAAATATTTTGCAATGCATGAACTAGGAGGTTCTACCTAGAAAACGGAGACTATGGAGAGGCTTTCGGAGAAAATGGGGAGTACCAGTGAATTTCTAATTTTGATATGATTAACTGATTGCCTGATATTTTCAGTAAAAAACATAAACTCACTTACCAATACCAGCAAGGAGACCTGCAATGCCCTGACGTCGGTTAGATCCTCCAAATCCTCCAAGAAGTCTGTCGAACCATCTGCAATGACAAAATGTAAGCAGACGTTACCTGTTTCATATATTCTGATATCGTTTCATTATCATCTGATGTGATTCACGCATGCCGTGGCCGGGAAGTGTGTTTTGATGTTTTTCAGGTTTTTTTGGCCATTTCTCTCATAAACCTCAGGACACATCTTATCCGCACATGTCTTTCGCATTTTTGAACACCGGTTACCGCGCATTTCCTCGATTTTTCGTCGATTTTATCGACGTCGATTTTCCCCGAATTGGTGTGCTACGCTCTAAGCACCACCCCTGTCGCTGGCTAACACATACCCTTGACGCCTAGTAGGCTGATACTGCTGCTCGTAGTAGTTATTGTAGGCACCGGGGGCCGACTGGGCCACGGCCTGGGGCTGGTAGAAGCCCTCGTCGGCAGAGACTGCGGCCATCACGGCCAGCAGCAGACACACGGACAGCTTCATGGTGAAAACTGAAACGCAAACAAATCAATGACGCCCACATGTGGTGACAACCAGATTGGGGGAGGTGCAGTTGACTATATACATATAATGATATTCCTTTCCTCAGAAGCTATCTGTTCCCTGTAACGCTCAGGTGTGCCGTTTATCACGCAACTAAGCGTGTCGATGGTGAGCATTGGGTCACAGCATTGAACTGCGAACTCGGCCCGTGTGATGCGGCACAGCCTACCACTCCAGGCAACTCATTGATTGTGTAACATCATTCTGCAGTCAACGGTACAGTCAGTTTTTAAAGTACCGCGCAAGTGCGGGGGATCCATCAAGCCCGACCGTGGAAGGACTGCTCAATTTGAGCCACCGAAGCAATTGACATCCTCGTCCATTTCCCGGGTCAATTGGTTCGGTGACTTTCAAATTATAGCAGGCCCTTCCTCGGCCAGGCTTGATGGATCCACTGGTACTTTGCGCGTTACTTTTAAGGCTGACTGTACATTGAAACAGCCATCGCACTACGATGGTAACAGCAGCACCATTCTGAATGTCTTATGATGAGCTTCATGCAAAGCAACGTAGAAGTCTTCGAAATCAAGTGTTGATACAGCCATGTCATCCATCGCCACTGGATGACACAGAACGATCACAGCACTACTCTCTGCGGGGCCCACTGACACCACACTGGGTCTGCACCACTGCACCAACACACCACTGGTGAGCCACGCTCCTCGCTGGAGCGGCTGTAGGAGACACTGGTCAGTCGGCGGCCAGCCAGCCGAGTCCGAGTGACGGCCGGCACTGCGGCGCCACCAGTGCCCGCCCCGTCCTCCTGAGTCCTCACCTCGCTGGCAGGACCACCGAAACAGAATGGGATGGTGAAACGGGTGTGCGCACCGGTTAAATACCCTCGCTGTCCGTCCCACGGCTTTCACAAAATCTGGCTTGACCAATGTCATTCACGGTAACTGAGTGGTATGTTATGCCTAACGTTCTCCGTTCGGCGCGGAACCTATGTTTGACATTGGATGCACATATTATATGCCTACCGTTCACGCTTAGCAACTTGACATATCTGGTACGCACATTTTGTGAACATTTTAGGCCCAGATCGCTCAAGGTTAGGTCATCAGATCACGTCAAGTGACCTAACCTCACAAAATGTTAGAATGCTCGTCATAGCTACACCAATTGAACGATCACCTTGAAACTTCCAGCGATTGATAAAAATAACAGTAGGTATGTATAACATCTCTATCTCGGAATTTTGATATCGATGGCCTAAGGTCAGGTCAATTTTGCGCCCTCTCCGTGTGAAGTTAATTGGAGCCGAAACGCGTCTCCTTTGGACGGACGCCATTCTAGACACTCTCAAACATCGGGCTATAGGTAAAACTTGACACACTATTTAGGAAAATTGCGCCTGTGACCCCCTCTTATGTCCCCGAGGTCATCTCTCGTCAAGAAAGGCCCCAACAGTTTTTCATTTGCAATAACTTTTGATAGAGACATGGTATGACGATGAAAGCATCTTACTATAGATGTGTTCAGGTCGACGATAAGGATTGACTGATACTCAACATGACCTTTTCCGGTCAAGTCATAACATTGACCTTAGGTCAAGTTTTTGAAAATGACCTTTTAAGGTCAAATTATAATTCATTTGACGCGTCTTTGCGGAGGAACACGATACTGGCAAAATAAATGTCGCATCTTTATTTAGTAAAAAAAACATTTTCGTATAACGGCTCTTTTTCGAGTTTTTGTTCTCTAGAGGCTAAACTGTTAGTCCTAGGTCAAATCTTAGAGTTATTCTAGAAAGAACGTTGACCCGGTCGGGTCTGAGTATAATCCCAGCCACCTTAGCCCGGGGAGGGGCGTTTTTTGCCCCTTGTCTAACTCCGTAAATAAGGGAGCTATGGAAATAAAAGTTCGAAAGGTCTGTACACGAATATTCTGAAGCACCTATTTTCTACTTCAGGTCAATTTTCAAGGTCAGGGGGTCAATGTCAAAGGAAAAGCCATCGTATGTTTATTAATCTCAAATTAAGTGTTCCAGTGGACAGTATAAGGATGCATAAAACCGGCTAAAAAGGATTGGAAACGAAAGAAGATAATGTGAGGAATCTGATAATGTGCCCAAAATTCAGGTTAAGGTCAAAATCATGCTCAAGTTTGACCTCAAACTTTGCGTGTTACATGCTACAATACAAGGCTGCTCCAAGGTCAAGGTCACGCAAGGGTATCCTGGCTATTTCACTGATTCAAGTCAGCAATCATAGTTCAGTCATTTTTGCTATCCTGAGGCTCTAAATGAACGATTAATTTTTGGTTTACTCACTCCTTGATATATATATGCCTTAGATACCGTTAGGGTACCGAATTTGTTCTGTGAATTTTTCAGGTCAAGGCTAGGTCATCCTAGGTCACGGAAATTTTTATATCATCGATATATGGTCCATTTCAGCCATAGAGCTCGAACACAGTGTCGTCTGTGTCAGTGGCGGATCCAGGGGGGGGGGGGGCTGCGGGGGCTGGCAGCCCCCACCCAAGGAAAACTGGCGCCACTGCGCCGAAGGCGCAGTGGCGCCAATTTTCAATTCGCAACTCATCGGAGTGCCGCATACTAGGACTAGGATGCAAAAATCAGTCGAATAACGTCGTTTCAGTACGCTCCGCACCGATATTTCCAATCGTGTGGTGTCACTGTACATACTGATCCTGGGCGCCTCTTGTCAGGGCCACTGGGCGCCAATATTTCAGCGCCAATACGATGCGACTATGGCGCCCATCCGGGGCGTGGCGCCCAATTATGACCTGCAGCCCCTCCCCAGTGAAAATCCTGGATCCGCCACTGGCCTGTGTCATTTGAGACCATTTTCGACTGAATATTGCTGAGGTCAGGTCACTTTAAGGCCTAAAAAGGTCAAAATTTACAGTTGCATTTTTTCAACAAAGGTGTCTATCATATGCAGTTTGAGCTCAGGAACACGATGGTGCTATTTATATTGCTGTACGATGTCAGAAACGCACTGAAAAATGGATTTGAAAAATAGATAATGGTGAAATTTTGACTAAAATGCGTATCTACCTATTTGTGAAATGAAACCTAACTTAGCTATTTTTTAATATATCGGGCTACAACTCGCTAGAGTGAATCATCAGCATGTGTTCTATCACATATAGGTACCTATTTCGTTTTTTTTCTCGAAAATCCAAAAGCTTTCATGAAAAATAAAAATATTTGTGAAATTGTGTTTGTATATTTTTCAAGAAATTAAAGATTTTGAAAATTCGAGATGGGAGTTTGATAGCCACATGCATTCTTTATCCTCTCATGCAAAGAAATTGAATCTATTAGGGACCCTCCCACCTTCAAAAAAGATTTCTCGATCTTGTGAGTGCTCAAACCGGTAAGTGCAAGCCAGAGACCCCATTTTGGCTATCTCAACTCAAAACTAATGTTAAGATGGAAAGGTTACTTAAAAAACTGAGCTCTTGAGAGCGATTCCCGTAGCTCCATATTTTGCATTAAAATTGCCGGCATGACGTCACTCTGACGTCATTTCCGGTCGACCTATGGTAGCTACAAAGCTGTTATTTTGACACAAGGTGGTTAAATTGATGCAGCTAAAAGTACTGCAAGTTTCGTGTTGATACGTAAAGTGGCTTAGAAGATATTACAGAAAGCGGGAGGGGGCTCTCTAAAGCCCCCGCCCCCCCCCCCCCCCCCTCAGTCATGCGCGGGTTAACGCAGTTTTAAGTAGGATGGCGTGCACCAATGTGCTAGTGAGGGGAGGAGCCTGCATCGCAGCAGTGATAGGAGTGTGCACCGGGCAGTGATAGGAGGAGTCTGCACCAATGTGATAATAAGGGGAGGAGCCTGCACAGCGGCAGTGGGAGGAGCCTGCACCAGTGTGGTGGGAGGGTATCTCGGATCTTGGCCGAGGGGAGGAGCCTTCGCTGTGGCGGTCGAAGGGTTATAGGTGGAGAGGGAGGGTGGGAGGAGCTCGCGCTCGCACACCCAGACTATCAATTTGTCAAATTTGTTATATGCTGGCGGCTATTACGGTGCTCGCAGAAAACTATTATAGTCTGGCAAACTTAAGCAATAATGGATTTAAAGTGCTGCGGCCGTTGATTCCAAGATTGTTGATGCATGTGCATTTATATTCTGAGAGTATTTTTCTGTCACAACTTTTCACACAAATTTCTCCGAACCATACATTTCAAACACGTGCAAAGTGATTGATGCGCTCAAAGTCCGTTCTTTGTTAGGTTTGCCAGACTATATGTATAGTTGAAGAATAAACTTGAACACTCGGATGGCAGTCCACTGGTAGCGGCACCTTGGGGTTTGGGTGCCGCAGGTGGTGGGAATTATGTGATTGTCTCCAACTATCACAGGTTAGCGGGAAACTTCCGGTACGGGCATTATTTACATACTCGTATATTACATATCAACCGTACAGTTGGTAGCAGGGTATGTTGGTTATGTTGGTAAGGTATTCAGCCATCTGCCACTTGCTGGGTGCGAGGGTCCGTAAACGCGCGAGCAGATAACTCGTGAAGCAATGTAACTAAATCATAAGTTGGCTAACGAAAAATTGCGGCAGGACGCATCAGCCGTTTAGCCGCGCTTCCTTTTTAACTCCTACAACATAGAACGGCTCATTCAGTGGTGTGGACATACATTTTGTAACGGTGCGACGGTGCGCCACTTTAAATAGGCGTGACCTTCTGTGCAAAATGTGAAAGGATAATCACTATTTTTTGGCCCGACCAAAATAAAAAAGAAAACTCCAATGACGGATTCCATAAATAGCTAAGGGCAGCTATAAGGACACTGTTGTGAAACGATCGATAAAAACTCATGCGGTGGTTCCCGTTAAGACCACACGGTGAAATCCGCTGGGCCAGAAGTTCCCAGCCGCCTCCAACGATTAGTGGTTTCTGACTGGAACAGAGCCCTGAGTCCTGACCTGCCGCAAACCAGACAACCGGCCTTGACCAGGACTCTTTAACATCAGCGCAACTTTCAGCGATTCGTTGCACATAAACCGAGCCTTTATACCATCACTTTACCTTAGCTTCTTTATTTGTGATAAAAGGATAAAATCATGAACAAAAAGCGTCCCACTATCAGATAGGTATATAATCACAATTTTCGGTTTTGAAGAAAGGGCGAAGGGCTAAATGTGCCAACTCTTTCAGAAAGCATTGCACGTAGCACCCTGAAATGTTGCAAGTTGAAATATATGTATTGCGGCGCAATATATGTGTATTTACCTAATTTGTTTCTTTGAAGCGCTGTTGTTGATGGCATGTGCTCGGCGCTCGCAGGGCGCTCGCAAATGTCGCGAAACATTGCAGTTCCGGCTTGACACCAGGTGAAGGAGACAACATCTATTCAATGTCCGAGTCCATTTTTTTCTTTTTTTTTGTTAAATGTGAAATGAGAATTTTTTTGTGAAATGAGAAATCTGAAAACCATTGCGCGGATCGTGTTACCAGATGGTTCTATGCCCGACGGGAGATACCTACATACGTTGCGGAAGCTCGTCCCTTTGTCTCGGAGATGGGGTAAAGAGTAAACAGTAACACGGAACAACGCGTGATTGATTTGTCAGCAATATAGGCATAGATGGTTTTATACACTATGCCTACATAGACTAAAATGATGCGTAACATCGCATGCCACCCTCGAGCCTTGAAATCTTTCTCTGTCTATCGGAACATGTGTTGTAATTCATCCCCAAACCGCCGCACCCTGTGAGAAGCAGCAATCAAAAAAATCGTTTGAGAGTCAGGAAGCGCATCTTTCGCAAGGGGCGGCCAGTATAAAAGGTTGGGTGATGCGGTTTCACTTGTTCATTTTGGCGAGTGTCTCCCAGCAGTCCGGTAAGGAGCGACCCGAGTCGACACATCTCCGCTGCCCAGAGGTGGCGCCAGCCTCGCCCGGCCGCACCTCTCGGTCCAGGCCGGCCCATCTACCGGACTAGGTGCCCGCCACGGCACCGGGGTGCACGGGTGGTGACCGAGCTGCGGCGCCGGTCCCGTCGGCCGGCCGCAGAGCTGCCACAGCTCTGTGTTTCCGAGTGCAGATGCCGAGTGGGCGGCAATGTGTGCCAGTGTTGTGGCTCGAGCAGTGAGGTCGGACCGAGTGGCCAGCGGCGGTCCAGTGATGCGGTCCGGTGGACCGGAGCGGCGGCCGCGGCGGCTGCCCAGCGAGGGCCGCGAGGACCCGCCGATCTGTGACGCATGCCTCGTTGGCCGCCATCTGCCATTTCTCATGTCCTCTTTCCGGCTGCATTTTGGTAGAAAATATTTAACAGTTAATTTAAACCGCGTTGAAAGTTTGGACAAAGCTGGTCAAGAAAAAAAATCGCAAAAGATCGCAATCTACCACTAATCTTGTCTTTTCTCCGGGTACATTGTTCTGAAGGAAGTTAGGTATTGAGGATTGAGGAAACTGTTATATCATCCTCCTATTAATTTCTAAAACGTCGATTTCATCGATAAAAATCGCATATAATGTTCAGATACAAGATACCATTTCGATTTAAATAGCTGCACTTAAATCGTGCGAAACCTACAAATTGACAAAGATCTTTCGACATTTTCTTTTTGTTAACACAAGTACATGAAAGGTAATTGATAGCTACGGGAGAAACCCGCATTAAAATAGCTTGTTGAATAGTTGGCTAGTTGGTAGAAGTTGTAACTGCTATTCTACGCTGTACTGTTACAAAACGATGCCTTTTCAAATGGCAATGTGACATATCATAATCATACCGACGCATTGGTTACCCAGGGAATGCAAATGATATTAGTCAATGTTTATTTCTTTTTTACTGTTTTTTTATGTCGTTTATTGCATGAAGTCGAAGATGCATTAACTACGTTGAAATGCGATGCTTCTAACAGCTACTGAATGACGCCGATGAGTTTGAGCGAAGAGGCGCGAGGTTACTTGTCTATTAAAAATTGCATAAGCTTCCTCGTCCACATTGTGCTTCGATTACATGAATTACTTCTTGAATGAAACGCAGAGAAGGCGTTCCACGCAGCAGATAGGATTATTTCTCCCATTCTCCTGTGTGGCCATTAGTACAAGTCTGTTAAAACGTTGTCTTTTCTTCCAGTTTTCACCATGAAGCTGTCCGTGTGTCTGCTGCTGGCCGTGGTGGCCGCCGTCTCTGCCGACGAGGGCTTCTACCAGCCACAGGCCGTGGCCCAGTCGGCACCCGGTGCCTACAATAATTACTACGACCAGCAGTACCAGCCCCCTCAGAGTCAAGGGTATGTGTAATTTAAAGCATAAATTTTCAGGAAGTTCAATGACACCTCCTTTTTTCTGATGAATGATTGTATTAGTGCTGCACATTCATTCGAACTGAACCTAGTCATGGTGGCCTCTTTAAAGCTTTTTATTTAGCAGCATGAACATTTATTGAATGTCTCGTTTTTTTACCTAACCAAGAAAAATGTTATTCTTTGGAGCACTCTTGCGAGGAACATTATATTACATATTATATCTCTTTATTATATCTCTTTAAGAAAAATGTTAACTTGAACCGTTGCGTGGGCAAAAAAGTCACTTGTCTTGACTTCGCCCGGATAATTTAACAATATCGCTTCAGCTATATCAAAGCAGCTATATCTGAACAGCTATTTGTAAACATCTGATGTATCAGCTACATCTGATCCCTTAGTTATATCTGATATATCACTAATTACTGTAATTCCAGATGGCTCGATCGTCTGTTCGGGTCCAACCGGCGCCAGGGCCTTGGCGGCCTTCTCGGGGGAGGACTCGGCATTTTCGGTCTGATCGGTGAGTCAGCCATTTCCAGTTACCGCTCCGGGCAGTTAGGAGTACTTTCCATCCAGTGTTTTACTTTTTTGAAGATGTAGGTAAAGGACTTGTTAACGGTACAAGTTATATGACCAGCCATTTATTCATGTGCTAAGTGATACGCCATCTATCAAACAGGCAGGAGTTTGCGCCAGAGCTAGGGCCTGGGGAGTTGGATCAACATATCAGGAATGTCGACAGTGGTACAAATGCTGACCATCCTTTGTTGTGCCGACAGGTCCCATCGCTCTGGTCGTCATTGCCATCGTTGGTCTGGTCGGCACGGCCTATGTTCTCTCGGAGCTCGATAGCTCCGGCCGTGGCCTGGACTCGGACCAGTGGGAGGTGGACCACTCGGTCTGGATGAACCAGCTCCAGAGGGACTTTGAGGACTCGTGGTCGGTGTAATTGTTCCTGTGCTTTGATGCGATGAAACACGACGCTATCCATGCCTTTCCCGACCGCAGCTAGTACAAATGGCGTTTTGTGATCCTACGACGACTAACCAAACGCTATTTCCTGAGCTGAGTTCATTGTCACTTTTCAAATAACAGCCAGTCAGTTTCCATGTGCTGCTCAGTATTGCAACAGAACTGTTGAAATTCATATAGGAATACCAAGCCTGCGTTGATCGTATTCTCTTATCTGTGATCTTGAAGACATGTCATGCAGTACCTTTTTTCGAACTACTATTGTTCTACTATTGTACTATTGTCAGTTATTGAGATCAAGGCTACCCACATGCCTTTCATCTAGATGCTTTTCCTTGAATACCCTCCTCCCTTGGTCCTCTTTTTGTCCATAAGTTCCGGCACTGAAGCATCTTGCAATAAGTTCATCTATCATTTTCTACCAAATCGTTCCATAGGTTATGCATCGATTTTCTTAACGATTCCCTTCAAATGATTTCCTTTGGCCCATTCGTCCGATTTTTATGTAATTTGCTTATCAATCAAGCATAGATTATTGTATGATTTCTTGTTCATCTATAGCATTGTCACGTTATTCTATATGTAATTTTGCGTTCTTGTTTCTCTGACCATGCTTTGCCTTCTGTCTCACCTGGATAAAGTCAATGGAATATCGTTCCAGTGTTAGTAGCCACTCAGCTGTTAATGTTGCGCTTTTGCTGCTGTTTTTGTTTTTGTTTTTTGTTCTGGAGGTTGTTGAGTCACTTTGCTTATTTGTTTGTTATAATTACCACCTCGAAGAGGAGTGAACGTTGCCGAATACATTATATGCCGATAAGAAATGACTGTTTTCAGCGTTTCCCCGCTCATTGACAAAGCGTGCTGTCGTGACTTGGTCTTGACCCGCGCCTGGTCGTTGCTCGTACGGGTAGCTTACTGCGCCGGGCCGGGGGGGAGGGTTATGAACAAAAAAGGTTGAACATACCTTACAGTTTTTGGTGTGGTCACAGCCCGGCCGGGCCCGAGGTTGATCCCAACCACCGCAGCCCGGTTTTTTTCGCCACAAGGACGATTTTTCGGGGAGAAAGAACGTCCACTCTCCCACAAGGGGCGTTTTCGCCCCCTGTCTAACTCCATAAATAAGGGGGAGCTAAGGAAACAAAAGTGGTACCAAACGAAGGGCCTCCACGAAACAATTCTAATGCACTTAATATTTTTGATCAAAGGTCAATGCTCGAGGTCAGAGATCAAGGTCAAAGGCAAAGACCGGCACATGTGTAGTGATCTCAAACGAAGTAATCCAGAAGACGGCAGGATGCATGAAACCGGGTAAAACGGGTGGGAAACAAAAAACGAGAATCTGAGGAATCCGTTTGTTGATGTGCTCAACACTCAAGGTCAAAATTAAGGTCATACTTAAAATTGATGTCAAACTTTGCTCTTTTTCGTATATCTTGTATGCTAAATTCCAAAATATTTTGAAACAGTTCTAAGCTAATTAGGCCCCTAGTTGTGGTTCGTGTTAAGATACAGGGCAGCCTCCAGTTCAAGGTCACGCAAGAGCATCCTTGCTCGAAGATATTTGACTGATTCAAGTCATCCATAATAATTCATCAATTTTTGCTATCCTGAGGCTTTAAATGAATGCTTACAGCAAAATGGTTACCGGATTTGTAATCAGCGGCTGCGAATGCATCATACGAGACCTTTTCAGTGTCAAGGTCAGCCAAAGGTCATTCGAGTTCACATGAAGTCAACATAAAACTTAACCCCTTCCAAAAAATATATGCCATTCACCGCGCTTGACAAGACCACTGCGTTGATACCACTGCCTTAGCTCTAAGACCTTTTGCAAGTTATTTCCGAAAAAAAATAAAACCCCAACTTGGGTTCGTTGGCCTGAGCCCTGACCTCAGGTCACCAAAATGATTTTTATATACTTTCCTAGGTCATTAGCTACGCAACCGTGCTCGTAACTTGTCTTTATCTAAAAAACTATATTTTTGGCAGCTATTTAAAATTCATGTCTGTTGCGTCGAAATTTGACGTACAAAGGGCTAGCAAAATCGACCTTGTGACGTCATCGAGGAGGATTGACCCAATGTTTTCCTTAACAAAATGTCAAGTTGTTGGGGGAAAAAGGTACTGAAGTTCCGTGCTCCCATCCCTAAGCGCTCGGGGACTATCGCAAATAGTCCCCAAAGAGGGGTGGGGCAAAAAACTCCCCCAGGCCCGTGAAGGCTTACTTGACCTGGTGACCTGATCTTATATGACCTGGGGCAAAAAATTAAACACACGATGCGAGACTGATGCACCATAAGCTATACCAAGTTTTGCGGCGTTTCGCTCCGCGGTTTTTTTACACACGCAAAAAACTGACAGGTGTGGCCAAAAACACCCACCCACCCTTCCCCACCCGGGTGAAGGTCAAATGATAGCATATACGGTATTGACGTTAATACCTAATGTCGTTTGACGTCAAGGCTTTTCGACATTGCCAAATTGTGTTAATTACTCGGAAATGGCACTAATACGAATTCAACTGCCGAATCAGATGATTTAGAAATGAGCTCCCTCGATTAGCTTGCTGACCTATATGGGTTTGAATTGACCTTGACCTTAGGCAAACAACCCATTTTACCTTCCCCAAAATAAAAAAATAAAATGTTATTTGACGCGGATGACTATGAGAAACATAATGTTCCTGAGCACCTGTGTACCAAGTAGGACCAGATGAGTCTTGAGCTCAATCTGTATCTGATATACTCCTTTTATTGACATCTTTTACTTAATCCTCGCCGGACCTGTTGGTTTTCTACATACGCGTCGGCCGAGGGGGGGGGGGGGGGTACGACCCCCTCGCCGTTTCGCCACTAGTGGAGCTAGCGTATAATGGGGAAAAAACGAGCGTGTGCGCCGTTACGAGACGCAGAGATTGATACTCGATTTTAAGGTCCTAGGTCAACCGGTGACCTCTGAGGTCACGTCAAGTGCCCCAAGGTACGGTTCAGTTTTTGGTGAATTACTTCGCAAAAAACGGCTGCAGAGCCGCGATTTTGGCAACATCGTGTTCGCCCCGCTCAGGCGCGTCGAATGATATACTTTTTGTTCGGGTCAGGTCAACTTAGGGTGTTGACCTCAGGTCACGGTCAGGTCAGCGCCCTCAGGTCACGAAATTGGTTAAAGGAGGTCATGTCGCTTATCATTCGATTCGGCAGGTCTTCCTGGGTTCATTAGTGGCTTTCCCGACTCGCTAGCTCAATTTGATCAAGAGTTATTGACGAAAAACTAATATGACCCTAATGACGTCATAAATGACGTCATGCAAGGTCAGCATTGCAAAAGTGACGCGTCTAGCCACCAATACCACATGGTTTACACATGGTTTACATTCTACATTGACTAGATCTGTAACGGCATCAGTGACCTATCGAATACCGCTTAAGTTTTGGGTACACGGAACGGTATTTTGGAGCGATCTGACAGGAGCGGTTTCTGAAGAGCTCTGCCTCTCTCCCACAGTCAACCGCGTAATGGAACACACCATAGACCTCTGTACACCTAGTGTACAGAGGTCTATGAACACACCTATTCAAACGAGGGTTACAGTATTGTAAAGGTGTGTCGTCAAGTCAGGGAAATGTATATACCTTATTAAAAAACGGCCTATTCGCCCGATTTACACGTAAGGTGCTTATCTTGTGAAATTCTTCTGTATCTTTCATGTGCGGATGCATGAAATTTAAGTTTTGTGGTAATTATTCGCCACTGTAAAAGCTGCTACCCATGAATACCAACTGATGCTTGAGTCAAAAATGTATTTCTGAGACATTCTCACATCACTCGATATTGAAAACAAAACAATAACAGAACAAAATACGTCAGTTTCCAAAACAAATATGAGAAACGACATAACCACGGGAAACCGTAACATCACATTTCAACACTCTGTTATGATTTCTCATCGCAACAATTTCATGTAACTTTGTTAGAAACTGTTCTCAAATGGAATAAAAGAGGCAGAACTGTCCTCAATAGCAAATTTGTATAGGCAAATAACAACCATCGGGCAAATAAGGATAGCAGGAAAGCGTGGAAGTTGTAAGAAGCAGGCACAATGGTCCAATTCACTCCAAGGGCATATATAAGGCTCGAGAACGAAACAAGGGATGGGGGGGAGCAGTTAAATCAGGATAAAAACTCTTTTATGTGCCAGAAAAGGAATAAAATTTGCATGTTGTCTTTAAAAATGTCAGGCCTACATTTTTCTCTCCGTAGAGCGTCAGGCCTTAAATGAGATGACGTTGTGGCATATGTGTCCACAATGATGAAATGAAGTAGCCGATAGAAATTAGCTGCCCTTGGAGGATGGATAGAATTGCATAGAACAGTAGCTCCTAAGCGCAATAAAGCGAAGCGTAAAAGACAAAAGCACAAAAAGAATTGGCATCACAATTGTTGCAGCAGCTGTGGAGACAGCCGATTTTACTCGCTCTAAAAATGAGCATTCATGGAAACGTTCTCAGTAGTAACAGATATATACATGAAAATTTACAGCGAATCGAGTTCTCGCAATCCATAACAGGAACAATTACACCGACCACGAGTCCTCAAAGTCCCTCTGGAGCTGGTTCATCCAGACCGAGTGGTCCACCTCCCACTGGTCCGAGTCCAGGCCACGGCCGGAGCTATCGAGCTCCGAGAGAACATAGGCCGTGCCGACCAGACCAACGATGGCAATGACGACTAGGGCGATGGGACCTGTCGACGCAACAAACGGGGGTCAGTATTTGTAAGTACCACTGTCGACTTTCCTGATCTCTTGATAAAACTCCCAAGAATGCTGCCAAAGACCTGCTTTATCTGTTTGATAGATCACCTTCTTTAGATATTTGTTTGAAAGGTGACGTATTACTTAGTACATGAATAAATGGCTGGTCATCTATCTTGCACCGGCAGTCCTTTATATGTTCAAAAAGTAGAACAATGGAGGGAAAGTACTCCTAACTGCCCGTAGCGGAAATTGGAAATGGCGACTCACCGATCAGACCGAAAATGCCGAGTCCTCCCCCGAGAAGGCCGCCAAGGCCCTGGCGCCGGTTGGACCCGAACAGACGATCGAGCCATCTGGAAAAGGTGAAAACATAAAGTATACCTACCATTCAAATAAAAATACACAACAACGCAGCCGTTGATGTTTATAGAAATAATTACCTTTAATATGAAATAATCAGCTGAAATCTAGAAAGAAATTTTTTTCAAAGATATAAATTTAAAACCAAAACATCATCAGGCATAAGCGCTGTTTTATTTGGTCCCACTCGCATGGGAGTAAATAAATATGATTATCAGGCGTAAAAACGCCCTCCGGATACCACTTGCTGTTCGGTCATATTATATCCACCTACCCTTGACTCTGAGGGGGCTGGTACTGCTGGTCGTAGTAGTTATTGTAGGCACTGGGTGCCGACTGGGCCACGGCCTGGGGCTGGTAGAAGCCGTCGTCGGCAGAGACGGTGGCCACCACGGCCAGCAGCAGACACACGGACAGCTTCATGGTGAAAACTGAAATAAGATAAATGCCGAATAAGTAACGGGTGACAAAAGCATATCATTTTTTACAATTAATGCCACGTAAATCCATATTGTTCTTCGAACATTTATTGTATGATCACACCTTCCGATAAACTCCACCTTTGA